TAAATAATTTTAAAAAAAGATGATTAGTGTGATGGTTAAGTTTGTGTGTCACCTTGGTTGGGCCATGATTTCAGTGGCTCAGCAATTATGTAATGAGATAAACATCTCCCGTTTTGTGATCTGATGTAATGTCATCACATCTATTATGAGATCTGTCATGAGCAAGCAATTGGCTGAAAGGGAGTTTCCTCAATATTGTGACCTGCAACAAATACATATGTGCATTATGACAAAGCTCTCTAGCATTTTTCTCACTCTGCACCTTACATGTCATTCATTATCATCTGACCTCTGGTTCTTGGGACTTCAGCCAGCAGCCTTCCTTATTGCCTGCCAACCATGGAATTCATCAGTTTCCATAGCCTGTGAGCCAGCAGCCACTGTTTAACAAGCAGATCTTGGGTTCACCAGACCCTTCAACTACTTGAGTCAGAAGCCTCCAGCTGAAGCCTGACCAATGGACTTGGCACTTACCAGCCTCGACAGCCTCAAGTTGAAAAGAGGAGGAATGTGACCGAAAAGTCTAATCAGTTTTCTGAGGAGCCAAAAAAGGACCCAGAACCCAGAACACTAGAGTCACCACATTGACTCTTCCTGAGTTCTGAGCAGACCCATCCTGCCCACCACAGATCAGAAATTGTTCTGCAACAGATTCATCAACATGAACAGCTGGGACCTACCCAGGCTCTTGAGCATTGCAAGCCAGAGCATGCTGTGGGACATGGCCTCAGCCATTACCGCTCTGGAGTCACTGCATGAGGAATTCTTCCCATCCTGTTCACAGATCACATCAATGGGAGACACAGCAAGATATTGAAGGCAATGGTGCAGACCTAGCCCTTCACCCACCTTTCTCTGGGGCTCTGATGAAGGTCAGCCACCTCACTAGGACATCTTAGGTTGCACTGGACAGGCATGATGTCTTACTTGCCCAAAAAATTTGTCTCAAGAGATATAAACTGAAAGTGCTGGATTTACAGGTAAACAGTCATACCAACATCTAGAACGTATGGTCTGGAACTCAGCACAGGGTCTCTGTATGCTCATTAAAGAAGCCAGAGGCCACCCAGTTCATGACTAAGAGGCAAAATGTGGACAATTCAAGGATGGAGGAGAAGCAGCCCTTGGCCCCCATGGAAGTACTCATAGACCTGAGCTTCAAAAAAGATGCCTGAAATGAATTCCATATTTTCCTCGTTAGAAGGATCAAGCAGAGAAAAAGTCTGCCACATCTGGGCTACATGAAGGTGGAATGTGTTAGTGAAAGACCCCAAAATGTAATTAGTGAGAAGATCCTGAAAGGAGTGGAGCTGGACTGTGTCCAACATGTGGAAGTCAATTGTAAATGGGAACTGTCCACACTGGCCATGTTTGATTCTCATCTGGGCCAGTTGGTTATTCTGAACAGACTTTGCCCCTCTCTAATCATCATGGATTCCCAGATTTCCCAGGTGGAAGCAGAGGTGGAGAATCTAGCTGCCCAATTCATCCCTCAGTTCCTCAGTCTGCAGAAGTTCCACCTCGACTCTGTCTTCTTCCTCAAAGACCACTCAGACCAGTGCTCAGGTGCCTGAAGACCCAATTGCATACTGTGGAAGGCTGAAATAGAAAGGCAAAGGGGCCCCTTGTTGAACTTTAACAAACAAGTAGGCATGATTAAAGTAGGCATTAACCATAGTGACTAACTTGCTATTTTTCCCTCCCCTCTCTATAGGAGCTCTATAGCATAGTGCCTAAGGCACTTGACTGCTAACCAGAAGGCTGGCCGTTCAAACCCACCAGCCACTCCTTGGAAGGAAGGTTGGGCAATCTACTTCTGTAGTGAAACCACCTCAGTAACTGAAGGAGGGGTTGCTATGAGTTGGGACCGACTTGATAGCAGTGAGTATTGAGTTTGCTTTCTTTTAAGTGAATAGAATAGCTAACCTTTCCACAGATTCATGGACACTGATTTCTTTAGGTTTGTTGTTTTTGATTATACATTCTTCTAACCCTCTCCCATGACTGGTTTTAGCCGAGGACTGTAGTCTATGAAGCAAGATGACACTGGGAAGGGGGAAGATGAGTCTGGAGTGATCACAGAAAAGAAGAACAAAGACATTCCTGGCAGTTAAAAAAATCTTCAACTCCCTTCCCATATCCCTACATCATAATGTTTACCTCTTTGCTCACCTACTTTGGTCATGTTGTCAGAAGGAACCATTCCCTGGAGAAGAATATCATCCTTGATAAAGTGGAGGGTCAGCGAAAAGGGGAAGGCCCTCAACAAGATGGATTGACACAGTAGCTGCAAACATGGGCTCAGATATAGCAAGGATTGTGAGGTTGGTGCAGGACTGGGCAGTGTTTTGTTCTGTTGTACACCGGGCTGCTACGAGCTGGAGCTGACTCAATGGCAGCTAACAACAACTCCTTTGCTCAGGGAAAAAGACATTTTAGAGAAGTGATTCACTCTGTCTCCTTGGGTATTGATAATCCATACATTCTTTTGCTTTTCTACTTCAACCTGTTGTGGTGACTGGTTCTACTTGCAATGGGTGGTAAGAACCTGCTTCAGTACCTCTTGATAACTAATTGCTTGCTGTTGGAGTCTGACTTAACATACTTGTCCTTGTGCCACGTAAGGTACCTGAATTTGACTGAGGCCAACCCAACTGGCTTAAACCCTGAGTTCCAATGGATCTGCACAAAGGAATGAAGAACACTGAAATGGTAACTACAGCCAGATAAGGCAATCATTGCATCTTTGTTTGCCGGGTCGGGGAATCGAGCCCCCCACTATTGGGGCCTGTGATCCTCATGGATACATGGATACTGGGGGATTTTCCCTTTCTTGACTCTTTTGTGAATATCTTTATGTGAAAAAAAAAAAAAAAGCCTGAGTTCCTCCAAGTTCTGCTAGATAGAGCATCAGCCACCCTCACTGCCTGAACTCAAATGGATGTGGGATCATGAACTCCCAGCTCATCACTGTCCTACTTGCCCTGAGCCACTGCTCCTAGCTTATCAGTTTCAGCTTCTCTGGAAACCCAGTGTCCATGGCTGTCCTGAAGAACCTGCTGAGCCATATCCTCCCACTGAGGAAGTTCACACTCCTGGAGTTTCCCATTCCTTTGGATTGCTACTAGGGCAGGCAAGGTACTCTCCTATGGATTCTTCAATGATGTCCGGATATGCTAAGGCGGATACTGCAGGGGTTAAAGGTACCAAACTCGATCAAGTTCAGTGACAGTGCCCATTTCCCTTGTAAGTATGTTATTAGCCTCCATTTGGAGATCTAATGTAATTATCCTCCATTTTGTGATGTGTTGTAAATCCTAACCTATGCCTGTATTTATAATCCCATTTGCAAATGGGTTGTTTTTAGGCTTATGAGGCAAGTTTAAGTTATGTTAGGATTAGCTTGGGGTACATCTTAAGTCACCACCCTTACTCAAGTCACAGTTTTACTTGAGTCACATCATTTACCTGTAAGATAACCTTGTAAAGATATAAAAGGAGAGAGATGCAGCAGAGAGAGGAGGAACTGGAATACCACTATAAAAGAACTGGGAGCAGAGCACATCCTTTGGATTTGGGGTCCCTACACTGAGAACTTCCTAGACACAAGGGAAGACTGATGCCAGGACATATGAGATCTCCAAGGTACACTGGGCCCACAGGTGTTAAAAAAAGACAAGGACAAATGCTTTAACCACTGCCCCACCAATGCTCTTTCTGTTATAGCAGCAGTAGATAATTAAGACAACTAGTTAAAAACATAACATGGCACTGTAAAAATATTTTGCTCTTCTTTGTGGAATGAATATGGTCCTACTAGAAATGCTATTTCAGATTCAGGACCACACTGTTGTTGTTAAGGCAGTTCCAACTCATAGTGACCCTATGCATAACAGTACAAAACATTGTTCTATCCTGTGCCATGCCCACAATCATTGCTATATTTGAATCCACTATTGGCAGCCACTGTGTCAATCTATCTCATTGAGAATCTTCTTGCTCACCCTCCACTTTTCCAAGCATGATGCCCTTCTCCAGAGACTGGAGATGTATGCAAAGTGTGGGACAAAGTGTCACCATCCTCACTTCTAAGGAGCATTCTGCTATACTTCCAAGGCATATTTATTCATTCACCTGTCAGTCCATGGTATATTAAATATTCTTCACCAATACCATAATTCAAATGCACCAATTCTTCTTTGATCTTTCTCATTCATTGTCCACCTTTCACATGAATATGAGGTGATTGAAAAGACCATGATCAGGCACATCTTAGTCCTCAAAGGGGAATCTTTGCTTTTTAAAACTTTAAAGAAGTTTTTTTGCAGCAGATTTTCCCAGTCTAAAACGTCATTTGATGTCTTGACAGCTGCTTCCCTGGGTATTAAATGTGGACACAAGTAAAATCCTTGACAACTTTAATATTTTTTTCATTTGTCAGAATGTTGCTTATTGTTCCAGTTATAAGGATTTTTGTTTTCTTTATGTTGAGGTGTAATCCATACTGAAGGTTGTAGTCTTTGATCTTCATCAGTAAGTGCTTCAAGTCCTCTTCACTTTTCAACAAACATGGTTATATCATCTGCATGCTGCAGGTTGTTAATGAGTCATCCTCCAATCCTGATGCTGAGTTCTTCTTCATATACTCCAGCTTCTTGGATTATCTGCTCAGCATACAGACTGAATAAGTACGGTAAAACCAAAAAATAAAAAACAAACTCACTGCTGTTGAGTCATTCCTGACTCATAGTGACCCCTCCTTGGGTTTCTGAGGTGGTATCTATGGAAGCAGATTGCCCAATCTTCCTTCCGAAGAGTGGCTGGTGGTTTGAACTGCCAGACTTCTGGTTAATGGTCAAATGCTTTAGGCACCATACCACCAGAGCTCCAGTAAGTATGGTAGAAGATACTATATAGATTGACTCGGAATTTTTGGTTTTAAGCATTATGTTATCTTCCTTATTTATTGTTTTAAAAAATATTTGAGCCAGGAATAAAAATGACAGAATTAGAACATATGAGTAGAAGTTAAAGTCAGTAGCAGAGTATTACAAAGAAAACCTTTACAAAAATAAGAATTACTATATTAGAGAAGTAATAAGGAAGTTTTTCTTTTTCTCTCTCTCTCTCTTTCTCTACAAGAAACTAAATAGAAGCCAAGAAAGTAAGGTTTCAACTATTCAGCAATCTAGCAATTTATTTCCTGAGATACTGGAGGTAATGAGGAAAAAAAAATTGCCTATTTAGAAAGGATAGATTTTGTACAGACTCTATACATAATGTAATTAGGTCGATCAAATGATAATAGTAGCATTAGTAATATTGTTGCTGTTGTTGTTGTTAGATGTCATTGAGTCTATTTCAATGCATAGTGATCCTACGTGACAGAGTAGAACTTCCCTACAGAATGTTACAGGCCATAATCTTTACAGAGGCAGATGACCAGGTCTTTGCCCTGTGGAGCCACTGGGTGGATCTGAACCACCACTCTTTCATTAGCAGCCCATTGCTTAACAATTACACCACTAGGGTTCTTACCAAAAACCAAACTCATAGCTATTGAGTTGGATCCGACTCATAGTGACCCCTGCTTGGGTTTCCAAGGCGGTATCACTACAGAAGTAGGTTGCCCAACCTTCCTTCCGAGGAGTGTCAGGTGTGTTTGAACTGCCAGCGTTCTGGTTAGCAGTCAAATGCCTTAGGCACTACACCACCAGAGCTTCCCCCAGAGCTCCTTAGTATTAGTAATAATGACTATATAATAATAACCACTATAAATTGGGCAACTACCACATGCACAGTGGTGTGCACACACACTCTCATTTGAAGAAAGCTTTCAAAATTCATTCTCATAATGATCTAGAAAAGTAGATTACTATCCCTATGTTATAGAGACAAATCCTGAAACTCAGTGAAGTTAAGAAAGATAGTAAATGAAGGAAACAGGATTTAAACTTGGGATTCCAAAACCAATGAAATCTTCTCAATCAATAATGTAGATTCTAAAAATCTAGGAAATTCACAACTAATATTTCTTTTTTTTTTTTAGGATAACATTTTATATTTCAGTAGTGCTCCAGTCGATGATTGCTCTGAAGAGAGTAATATTTTTACATAGAGGTTTAAAGAAAATTTAATTTATAATACAAATCCAGCTACTATTTGGTTAGGGAAAAAAAATAACCAGTGTAGTAGATGCTCAATAAGTTTGTGTTCATTGATTGATGAGTGTATTAATGTATAATTATTTAAAAGAACAACTCTGATTGGAAGCATCGTAGAAGTCAAAAGGCAATGAATTCCTTTTATAATATATTTGTATTATGTATATTGTTTTTTGTTTTGTTTTGTTTTGTTTGTTTTTTTAAATTTTATTTTATTTAGATTTGGGTGAAGATTTACAGAGCAAATTCACTCTCGATACAGCAGTTCACATATACTTTGTCTCATGTCATTGACCACAACAACTAATATTTCTAGAATCAAAGTTTTCTCTAAGACCATGCTCTGTTTGAAACTCTGGGTATTCTTTAAATTCAATTATTTATTGAACCCTTACTTAAGCAAGTGAATGATAGCTTTCAAATGAAACTAGACCTAAATGGTGTTTACTATGTACCAAGCAAAAAGGCCCAGAATCAGGACAGATGAGGTGTCAGCCACAAGGATCCAGATGTGGAGAGGGAACCCAGGCCACACCCCAAAGCAGCAGGGCGGGAGAGCAAGAAAGGAGAGGAAAAGGCCCAGGGACCAGGACAGATGAGGAGTCAGCCACAGTCAGCCACAGACAGGAGAGAGGAGAGGAAAAGGCTCAGGGACTGGGAGAGATGAGGAGTCAGCCACAGGGATCCAGGTTAGGAGAGGGAACCCAGGTCACACCCCAAAGCGGCAGGGCAGGAGAACGGGAGAGAGGAGAGGAAAAGGCCTGGGAACTGGGACAGAGCATGGGGTCAGCCGCAGGGATCCAGGTAAGGGTGGTAGGAGAGTGTCCAACAGCTAAGGGAGACAAATTTGTCTGTTGGTTTGTCCTACCATGGTGACATGTTGCTGTGAGTCTTGAGGCTGAGCCACTGGTGTTTCAAACCCAGCAGGGTGCACACGGTGTACAGGTTTACAGACTGAAAGAGACTAGGAAGAAGAAAGAGGCCATCCACTTCTCAAAGAATTGGCCAGGGAAAACCTTATGAATAGCAAAGAAACACTGTCTGATACATTACCACGTAAATTAATGAATAGTCCAGATAGGTTAGAAGGCTCTCAAAATAGGATTGGGAAGAGTTGCATCAACAGAGTAAACCCAGCCTTACTCATATGGATAAGGTAAAGCTTTTGAGACATCCATTTGCTGATGTGGCACCATTCAAATTGAGAAGAAACAGCTGTAAATATCCATTAATCATTGGAACATGGAATGTACAAAGTATGAATTTAGGAATATTGGAAGTTGTCAAAAATGAAATGGAATGCATAAAGATTGATATCCTAGGCATTAGTGAGCTGAAATGGAGTGGTTTTAGCCATTTTGAATCAGACAACCATATCATCTACTATGTCAGGAATGACAGTTTGAAGAGGAATAGTGTGGCATTCATCATCACAAAGGATGTTTCAAGATCTGTCCTGAAGTACAGTGCTGTCAGTGATAGGATAATATCCATACGCCTACAAGGAAGACCCACTAATATGACTATTATTCAAATTTATGCCCCAACCACCAAAGCCAAAGATGAGGAAATTGAAGATTTTTATCAATTTCTGCAGTCTGAAATTGACCAAAAACATGCAATCAGGATGTGTTAATTATCACTGGTGAATGGAATGCAAAAGTTGGAAACAAAGAAGAATCACCGGTAGTTGGAAAATTTGGCCTTGGTGACAGAAATAATGCTGGAACTCGCATGGTAGAATTTTGCAAGACCAATGACTTATTCATTGCAAACACCTTTTTTCAACAACACAAATGGCAGCTGTACATGTGGACTTCACCAGATGGAACACACAAGAATCAGACTGACTACATCTGTGGCAAAAGGTGATGGAAAACTCAATATCTTTGGCCAAAACCAGGCGAGGAACTGATTGTGGAAAAGACTATCAACTGCTCGTATATAAGTTCAATTTGAAGTTG